GAAAACTAGCATGCCTACTAATATTGTTTTTTTCGCTCAATAACCTCTCAACCGCTCTAGAACGTAAAGCACCTCACTCAGCCGCATCGCATAACTTCACTTCACGTGAACGTTTTGGACACGCTTTGAGCATAGCTCCTCCCACAGCACCCATTCCAGACCCACGAGCCACGTCACCCAAACGTACAGCTCCGAACCTCCACCGCCAAACCTACCAGAAGCCCGGGTCCTGCAGCTGCACGGCGAGCATGCCAGCTGTCACGATCTGCCATCCCACAGAACCTCTCAGCAATCCCATCACGTGCAAATGGCTAGACTGTGGCAAGTGTGTGACATGACATGGCACAGCATGTGTGTTGGGCCAAGGATGACTGACCGACCTTATGATCACGGCACCATGTGATTGGCGGAGCATGAATGGGGTGAGCGGAGGTATTCGAGAATTATTGGATATTCGTTCGAATACCTGAATTCCAGAGAAAAAGAAATGGCCGTGTATTCAAAAATATTCGCAACACGAGTATTCGTGGATGTAGAATCTTCGGCTAACGGATATTCGGGGTATTCGTTACTATTCGGTATTCTACCATTAACACCCCACCCCCCCCTCCCCACATGCGGCTATCATATTTGGCAATCTGTCTACAAGAGGCCTCATGAGAACCGTGCTCAAAAGCCTAGCAAGATAGTTGCTGGAGCGGGATTAGGGAAAGTCTTGGTGCGGGATTGAGTCGTGGTGTTGATATTATAAGGTGCATTGTATCACCCTGTGTCGAACATGCATTAGCCGTTCGACACTGGCAATACAAAATATATTATAAATCGACACTTCTTTGTATTCGATTCGAGTTCGGCAGTATCCGAATCGTAGTCGTATTCGGTTTTGGGTCAGTATTCGGTCAAATAAGAAACCACCCAGTATTCGGAGAATATACAGGAAAAATATTCGTATTCGTATTCTTTTGTACAGGCTTAGCCATGTGGAAAGGAAGGAGAAAGGAATCTAGGGATGAATTTAAACCCAAAACCCAAGCGGCTTGGCATGGTGGTGGTGGGAGTGGGGGAAGAATGGAGGGAGGGAGTCTAGGACGGCAATAGTCTACTTGCTATCGCCTATCGTGTTCTCTCACGACCTCACGAATCCAATGATATGCGCAGCTCTGCTTGAAGTTGTCAATACACACTTCAGCAAATTTCAGAATCTCCAAGTGATTTCCAGAATGAGCACAAACAGATTTATAGTCACGCAAGACACAAAACGCGTTTCGTAACGTAACTTGTTTCGCAACAATCTCGAGCGCGCCTCGTTTCACCCCGAGTCGCACACGGAACCGAACCGAATTCACCGAACACTCCTCGAGTTCGAATCTGGAAATTTCTCGAACACGCCTCAGTCTCGAACCACAATTTCCCCCCGCCGATCTCATTCTCGATGCTTTTCCTTCTCTCTTCCTCCTTCTACCTCATTTCTTCTCGATTTCTCTCCCGCTTCTCACGCCGTAGCTTCTATTCCTCACCGTAGGCCGATTTCTACCGTCTTTAGTCTAGAATGTCCGTGCGCTTCCATTCCGCTGTCATTCCGCATTTCGCCGTAGGATTCGTGGTTCGTCGAACCATCCCTAACAGGGAGGGAGGCAGGCAGGCAGACAGGAAGGGAGGCATGCAGGGAGGGAGGGAGGGAGGGAGGGAGGGAGGGAGGGAGGGAGGGAGGGAGGGAGGGAGGGAGGGAGGGAGGGGGGAGGAAGGGAGGGGGGGAGTGAGTGAGGGAGGGAGGGCGGAGGGAGGGAGGAAGGAAGGGAGGGAGGGAGGGAGGGAGGGAGGGAGGGAGGGAGGGAGGGAGGGAGGGAGGGAGGGAGGGAGGGAGGGAGGGTGGCAGGGAAGGTGGGAGGCAGGGAGGCAGGGAGGGAGGGAGGGAGGGAGATGAGAGAGGGGGGGGATGGGAGGAACCTAAAAGCGAACATGCCTGGGCATTGTTCCAAGTGTGTATCCCAAATTTTGTCTCCACTCAATGCCCCACTCAGCCACTCTAGAACGTGAAGCACACGCAGCTGCATTCAGATCAAGTGAACTTTTTGAAAACGCCCTGAGCATAGCACCCATCCCAAACCCACGTCACCCGCACGAATGGCTCCGGACCAGCATCCCCGAACCCCCACCCCCGAACCTGCATCCCCGAGCCTGCACCCCCGAACCTACCAGAGGTCCGGGTCCTGCAGCTGCACGGCGAGCATGCCAGCTGTCACGCACGTCGACAGAGGCCGGAGCCTGATCTGCCCTGCTGCCACCTGGCAGTTCAAAACGCAAGATCGGAATGAGGGAGAACGGAATAGGGTTTGCGGTTTACATGTTACAAAAGAATGAATACGTGAATATGAGGAAATGAGGACACGACGGGTGGAAATTTAATTACCGTATTTCACTCCTCTCAGTACCACCCATCAAGCTCTCCCTCACAAGGCACAGTAACGAATCACGAATCGCAATAGATACGGCTACACCTGCTACCTACCACGGCGGGTCGATCCCGAAGGATCCCAGCAGGCTCGCCCTCACCGCCTCTTATTCCTCGTCCTATGAGACGCGAAAATTAGTAATAACAACATCAAAGCTACCCGGTCGATCCTGAAAAGAATCACCGGTCGGGGCGCCGGGGCCCAGCAGGCTCGCACATGGCATGTGGCGCAGCGATAGAGAAATCATTCTACCCTGTAACGTATGCGATTGTAAAGAATGCCATTTGAACGAATGATGTTGTGTGACGATCTGCTGTAGGAAACGCGATACCAATATCGGCTAGTGCTAGCCTGGCGGGTGGCCGCAGGTAATCAAGTTGAAGCTGCTAGGAACTTCTGAGTCGATTAAAACGTAGTTGCTAGCCGCAGTGATCTGTTAACATATGTAGGAACATGGCGCTCCTCGTGACATTCAGCTATATTGCCCTATGTGCTCCGTACTACACCTAACGCGTCCTGAAGGGCTATATGGTTCCTAAAGAGCCAAAGCGGGCCGCTTCTTGACGTGCGAGCAGAATGAGTTTTAGGCGACCTGGGTGGAATAATGTCGGGAGAAAACAACAAAACGTGGGTTTCAGCTTTGGCTCAACTGTGTTGAATCAAAGTACTGTAACAGAGCTAATGCACCGCACTTGACCTTTCACAAATCTTTTCTCTCAAATCTTCCTCCACGCTGCTGAATTCGTCAACCCCTGTGCCTTACCTAAACTGCCAAACCTTACCTACCCAAACCCATCCCCGCCCCAACCAAAGTCCGTGACCAGTTCAGACCAAACCGGACGAGCCCAAACCAGCCATACCAGCCCAAGCCAGACCAAGCCAGCCAAATAAAACCGAACCTAACCAAACCAGCCCAACCAAACCAACCATAACTCAACACAACCCATAGCTCCAACCACCTGCCGTTTCTGGTTAGTAGTTCCTCACGGTAGCGATGCCTCCCCAAACCCCTTTCCCTCCAATCCCCTTTCTTCAATCAACCCAACCAATCTGAACTCAACTCAACCCAGCCAACCCGCAACTCAACCCCTTCCACACCACACACCCCCGCCTCTTGTGCGTCTCTGGAAGGGTGAATGCATACTTCCTATGCCAACCCAACACATCGCTCGCACTGCCGTCTTACGTTTAGCACGCGTCGCCAAAATTTAACAAACCCCGCGTTGATTGGCTCAATATGTTATGTGGACAGTGGTCGGCGCAAAAATCGCATAGCACGTGCTGGGTGCGTCTTCCGACGTGGCAACTGCCATGTAGGACACGTTTTGGGCGGATGTCGGATGATCACTCACCTCCAGGAACACTCACGCCATGTTATCTTGAAAACTCGGCTGGTATGGCTTCTTTTCCTATTCCTTCATTTATCTTCCTCGCTGGAAACGCATTTCAGGTTTCACTCTAATCTTGGTAGCTTTTGTCTCCTCACGGGAGCAATTTCGGGAAGCTAAAAGTCGCTTTCTCCGAGTCGCGCGCCGTTAACACATGGCGGACGTAGATCCTCGAGTCGCACGTTACATCACCGTTCTGCACGACACGTTGCGCGCTCACGTTAGTACGACAGCGTGCCTCCTCCTGCTACTCCTCTACTGCTCACCGGCGATAGCTTTCCAGCCCATATCGAGGCAGCTCGTATCGAAGCTGCATGCCAGTCGTCGCGGACGGGGACTCTCCGCATGGATGGTTTCGCCTCGCGCAGCGCAACTTCACGCTGCGCAGCGGGCGGAGAAAACATTTCGGGGGGAACCCAGCGGCGGGTACAGCCGGTCATTGACTTCAGGGTTGCGCGTATCCTCCGCAGCCTCGCCGCAGGCTTCGGCGGCTGACACGGCGGCTCTCAAGGCAATCTTCACGGCCGCTCTGGTACCCATCCCAGCGAACAAGCCGAACGCGTGCACGTGGCCCGGTGTGACTTGCATTGGCAGCGCTGTTAAAGAGCTATTCCTCTGGAGCGACGTCGACCCTCTCGTGCGCCCCCCCCCACCCACGCCTCGCCTTTGCAACCGTACTGCGCGCGAACCTGGTCAGAAGTTCCCCGCAACCCTTTCCGATTCTATTGGCCAGTTAACGGGCCTCGTCCAACTCACTCTGAAAAGTCTCTGGCTTGCTGGCTCTTTCCCGCGATCGTTTTCCCAGCTGAAACAAATGCAATCCCTCGACCTTAGCTATAACTGCTTCGCTGGTCCTCTTCCTGTCATTTTTAGTCTGCCGAAGCTGACGGATGTGAACGCCGTCCAAAATTTCTTCTCGGGCGGGTTACCGCAACGTCCTGCTGCGTACACGGCGGCAATGCTGTCCTTTGTGAATCTCGCGATAAATAGGCTGTCCGGGCCGATCCCTGCTGCCCTGGCGACGCTGCCGAGCCTTGAAACGTTAACTCTGTACGTGAATCGGCTATCCGGGGAATTTCCCCTTGCTCTGCTCAAGAGGTATTTAATCCTTGATTTAGGTGATAACCAACTTTCCGGCGACCTGAGCGGGCAGAAAATAATGCCCACAACGTTTCGCGTACCTGGGAACAGGCTGACCGGAAACTTCAACACGATGAAATTCAGCGAGAGCGTGACGGTCATCGACGTGTCACGCAATTTGTTCTCGGCCTCATTCCCGCAGATCCTGTGCGATAAGGGCGGCGAGATACTAATGTATTTTTCGCATAATCAACTGACAGGAGCCGTTCCAGCAAATTGTTTCAAGTCCGGAACTTTTTCGAATGGCCTCATTCTAAGCCACAACAATTTTCGGGCAGCTTGCAGCCGTTTTCGAATCTGCCCGCGGACATCACTGCTCTGGACCTCGGATTCAACAAGTTCACAGGGAGCATTCCCCGAGGCCTCACCAGTTTACCCCAGCTTCAATACTTGGACCTCGGGGCAAACGCTCTGACAGGTGAGCTGACTTGAAGAAAGGTCATTGTTTTCTCCCATTGAGCTTTCTGTTTACTCCTCTTACCCAGTCCTTTCCTTACGCTTTTGCTGGCCCATCCCTCAGGCCCCATGAGTTCACTTCTTCCCCGCACCCCTCAGGCCCTATTAGTTAACTTGCTCCTATCCTCACTTCCCCGCACCCCTCAGGCCCTATTAGTTAACTTGCTCCTATCCTCACTTCCCCCACCCCTCAGGCCCTATTAGTTAACTTCTTCCTATCCTCACTTCCCCGCGCCCCTCAGGCCCTATTAGTTAACTTGCTCCTATCCTCACTTCCCCGCACCCCTCAGGCCCTATTAGTTAACTTGCTCCTATCCTCACTTCCCCCACCCCTCAGGCCCTATTAGTTGACTTCCTCCTATCCTCACTTCCCCGCACCCCTCAGGCCCTATTAGTTAACTTGCTCCTATCCTCACTTCCCCGCACCCCTCAGGCCTTATTAGTTAACTTGCTCCTATCCTCACTTCCCCCACCCCTCAGACCCCATCCCTGCTCTCTGCAAAGGTGAGCAGACCCTCACCTTCCTCAGTCTCGCCTCCCCCTCCTGCTCCGTTTCTATCCTCCCTATCCTGCACCCCTTGCTACTAACAGTTCCCTGCTTGATTTGACTCTTCGTTCTTACCTTTTCTATCCCTGTGCTTGTTCCTACTTCCAATCCCCCACCCCTCAGGCCCCATCCCCACCTTCTGCCAGGAAGGGCAGCAGCTCTCCTTTCTTAATCTCGCCTCCAATGCCCTCTCCGGCCCGCCCACACCGCTCTCCTCCCCCTCCTGCTCCGCCTCCCTCGCCTCTCTCAAGCTCGCCTCCAACCGCCTCTCCGGCCCCATCCCTGCTACAATCAGCTCCTTTACAAACCTGGAGCGCCTGCGCCTTGACAAAAACGCTCTTACAGGAGCGATTCCAGCCGGTGTAAGCAATATGAAACATCTGCTAGGACTCGGATTGTCATATAACAACCTATCGGGAAAAATACGGTACCCTCGGTTTGGCCAGCAGGCATACAGCAAGTGCTGATGGCGGGGAATCAGCTGTCAGGGGCTGTTCCGGCCGCTCTGAGCAAGCTGAAGCGAGGGTCGTTCAAACCAGGGAACCCCGACCTGTGTGGGACACCACTGCCTGCTTATGCTTAGAACCACCCCTGCTTGTGCAAATGATCACCCTACCCTCTTCATTGTTTGAGCAGTTTTCATTAATCACAGTTGTGCTATCTGTTCATCCCGTAGTTTTCATTATTCACAGTTGCATTGATAGGTACTCAAAACAATCTGAAGTGTCCTACTATAGAAGATGTTAAACAGATTTGTAGGCACGGCAAAAGTGAGTTCTGTCAAATGTTATAGCCTCTAGTGGGTCATGCTATATGGGGTGCAAACAGTTAGGGCTAGGCATTTGTACCCCAACCCAATCAATCCAACTCATTTCCGCTGTGTTTAGTTTCTGAGATGGTATCAGCATTAGGTTTACCGTTCCTAGACTTAGGCCGCCTCCTTCCTCCACGTGTGCCCTAAATCGCCTTAGCCCGCGCCACGCCCACGCGCCACGCCATCGTGCCACGCCAGCGCACCGCGCTGCCCGCTAGCGCACCACGCCGCCCGCCCGTCGACCTGCAGCGCGGCCCGTCCGCTAGCGCACCGCGCCGCCCGCCCGTAGGCCCGCGCGTCGCGTCACCCGTAGGCCCGTGCGTCGCGCCACCCGTAGGCCCGCCCGTCGACCCGCCGTGCCGCCCGTAGGTCCGCGCGTCGCGCCGCCCGTAGGCCCGCCCGTCGACCCGCCGTGCCGCCCGTAGGCCTGCGCGTCGCGCCGCCCGTAGGCCCGCCCGTCGACCCGCCGTACCGCCCGTAGGCCCGCACGCCGCGCCGCCCGTCCGTCGACCAGCCGCGCAGCCCGCCCGTCGACCCGCCGCGCCGCCCGTAGGCCCGCACGTCGCGCCGCCCGCCTGTCGACCCGCCGCGCCGCCAGCCCATCGACCTGCCGCGCCGCCCGCCAGGCAGTGCGCCGCGCCACCCGCCAGCCAACGCACTGTGCCGTCCGCCTGTCCACATGTTGCGCCACCTACCCGCCTGCCTGCCTCCGGGCCTGCTCACACGTTAGTGACTGTCTCCCCCCTCCCGCGGCTGGCAGCCGCGCTCTCTCAGTTTCGCCCCCTATGGCGACCTCCCGAGTACTTCGTTTTGACCCTGAAGGGAGACCTATTGATTTTAGTACGTGGCTTACGCAGGCGCAGCGCCACCTTAAGAGCCAGCAGCAAGATGGCGTGCACCTGTTCGCACACGCATCCGGCACTCAGACTGCCCCTCCGCAGCCTCAGCCGCTGCCCACTACCCCACCGCCTACTTCTGAGCAGGAGGCCGACTACCAGCGCCAACTCCTCGCTCGCGACGTGTGGGAGTCTCGTGACGCCGCTGCCTGCCTCGCCCTGACCGACCTTCTCCCGCCGACAGAGGCAGTCCACTTCGCCCAGGTTGAGTCTGCTGCAGATCTGTATAAGGCTATTGTTACTCGCTACTCCACTCCCTCCTCTGCTTCGTTCAGTCGCCTCCTCGTCCCCTTTATCTACCCTGACCTCGCCTCCTTTGAGACTGTCTCTGAACTCGCTACCCACCTTCGCTCCCTTGGTGCTCGCTTTCGCGCTGCTTGCACTGAGGACCAGCTTGCCCTTGCCCCACCACCTATGTGGCTCACTATTCACTGGCTAGTAACTCGCCTCCCTGACCGCCTAGCCACAGCCCGCGACGCTCTTCTTCTGAAGCACCCCACTGAGCTTACCATCTATCTTTTTGAGACTGCTCTCTCGAAGTCCGAGAGTAACCTCCTCACTGTTGCCTCTGCCTCTTTCGCACCTCCTCCTCGTCTTTGTGAGGGGTGTGCGGTACCAGTGCTTCCCACCTTCTCTGCCTCACTTGCCACTCCACGTCTTCTGCCATTGAGGAGACGGCGGCTGTTTCTGTCTCTGGCGGGCAGAAACGTGGCAAGGCTGGAAAGAGGGGCGGGAAGGGCGGCGGGGGTACTGGAGGTGGTGCGGGTAGTGGCGGTGGAGCAAGTGGTGGGAGTGGTGGTGGGGGTGGCTCGGGACCTCACGGCCCTCCTTTCGACGGTGGAGTTTTCACTGGTGGTGAGGGGTCCCAGCAGCAGCAGCAGCCGACTCCTCAGTAGCTGCCACCGCCTGGACAGCAGCAGCGGCAGGGACAGCAGCAGCAGCGACAGGGCCAGCAGCAGCGCCCGCCACAGCAGCAGCCTCAGCACTGGGGCCCTCCGCAGCATTGGGGCCCTCCGCAGCAGTGGGGCCCTCCGCAGTAGTGGGGCCCTCAGCAGCAGTGGAGGTCTGCGGGTCCCCCGAGCACTGGGCGCATTGGCGCCCCCTCCAGTCGGGGACCTCGCTCGGCTGGCCGCGACGTTGGTCCCTGTGAGTACTGGATCCTTACGGGTCCTCGTCAGGACTCGTACTGTGGCCGCCCCAACCACTCTGCTGCACGCTGCTTCAGTCGTCTCCACGACCTCTACCGCTTGCACCACGGCCCCTCCGCTCCCCCGCCGCCACGCTGGGGGACACTTCTTGCTCGTGGTATTGCTGTTTTTGATATGACTATGGATGATGCTAGGTCATATGCCATGTATGCTGATGTTGAGTATAGTGCTCCTGGATCTGTGTACTTGCTTGTACATAGCTTAGGATCTTTGCCTGTTGTTAGAGTAGGTGCTAGTGTAGGATCTTGTTTAGCTACTAGTACAGGTACTCCCTCGGCGGACGCCTCTCTCTCCTTCACACTGGACTCCGGAGCGTCACACTGCTTCTTCCGCGACTGCACGACTCTCTCTCCGCTACCGGCGCCCGTCCATATAGCACTGGCCGATCCCTCTTCGGGACTGGTCATTGCGACTCACGCCACTACACTCCCGTGCCCAGCTGCTCCTTCCTGTTCTCTGACTGGCCTCCACGTTCCTACGTTCTCTAGGAACCTGGTTGGTGTGGGCACCCTGACGAGACAGCACATCGAGGTCTGGGTTGAGCCTTCTGGTGACACCGCGGTCTGTGTGGACGGTGACACGTACGCCCCCTTGGCCACTATTCGCCAGGAGCCGGGCTCCGGTCTATACACCCTCCGCACCGACCCCCGTCATGTTACCCCGTCCCACCAGGTAGCCGTGTTCAGTCAGGTTACTGTGTCAGGTGTAGTTGCTGCGTCGTGCTTGTGTCGGTCGCTTGCCCACCCCTCCCTCCTCTGGCACCACCGCCTTGGTCACCCTTCCCTCCCTCGTCTCCGCACTATGTCCAGTCAGCGTCTTGTCTTAGGCCTCCCCCGAGTCCTCCCGCCACTCCCGCCATCCCCATCTCCTCCGTGCGGTCCTTGTGTCCAGGGTCAGCTGCGCGCCACCCCTCACTCCTCCTCCCTTCGTCCGGCCACCGAGCCCTTCGAGACTCTCCACGTAGACGTCTGGGGCCCCGCTCCCCGCCTTGGCCCTGGGCAGGAGAGTTTCTTTCTGGTGGTCGTTGACGACTACTCTCGGTACACCACGGTGTTCCCTTTGGCGAAGAAGTTCGACATGACTTCTACGCTGATTCGGTGGCACCTTGCCACCGACGTCATGTCAGTTGTCTTCACTCCGACCGTGGGGGTGAGTTTTGCTCCGGCATTCTCGCCAGATTCTGTGCTGAGCAGGGCATCACCCAGTCCTGGACTCTTCCATGTTCTCCACAGCAGAATGGGGTTGCTGAGTGCCGCTTAGGCCTGGTCATGGAGATCGCCCGCACCTCCATGATCTAGCCTGCAGTGGGGTGCTCAATACTGAGTACAACCCCTTATGGTTTTCTATTTGTGTGTCCTGCTGCTTGCTAGTCCACTCAATTCTTCCTTCCAATTCTCCTTCGTAAACCCCAACTCCTAGTTCTAGAGCAAGCCCACCTACCTCCTAGTGTGGGCCTAGGCTACTAAGCCTAGGCCCCACACCTACTATTCTCTCACTACCCACCCGCGACATGGCTCTCGCAGCGTTCGCCGCCTGGCTACCGGTAGCAGAGAGGGAATCAGGAACACAGCTAAAAAGCTTCCAGTCAGACGGAGGAGGAGAAAACACCTCCCAGCGCTTCAAGCAGTACCTGGCGGAAAGAGGAATCAAGCAACTCCTCTCCCTTCCCTACGCCCATCAGCAGCAAGGTGTAGCAGAAAGAATGAACAGGACTCTGCAGAACAGCATGCGCAAACTGCTACGTGGCATGCGGCTACCCAACCACCAGTGGCCTGCAGCAATGGACCACGCTGTCATGCTGCACAACTTGTTGTCATCGTCGTCACTCCCGAACAACGCATCACCGCATCTGCTGTGGACAGGGAAGCTGGGTAGCACAAGAATGTTACGAGTTTTCGGATGCATGGTACAGTACAGACCCCCAGAAGCACGAGCGGGAAGATTTTCACAACGGGCACAGTGGGGACTACACCTCGGCATCGAGAAAAACTACAACGCGTGGAAAATCTTCGGCGTCCACACAAAGGAAACAGTAGCAGCGCGTGATGTGATTTTCTACGAGCGACTCACCCTTCAGACTGTGGAGTTGAGAGAGGAATGAGTGCACTATGAAATGAAACGAGTACAAGTACCAACCTTAATTGGGTTGTACCCCCTATGGGCTACCCCACTACAGCCTAAATATATGCATCAGCAATATAATCATCTGACACACCCCCATAGGCAAAGTGGGGGAGAGCAAGGGGTCACAAGACCAGTCAAGCAAAGCAAAGCAAAGCAAAGCAAAGCAAGCTCAGGGTGGATCTCAAGGATACCACACAAATTCCGAGCACAAGGTCAAGGCCACAAGGCCAGTTCACATGCAGCATATATATATAACAGTGCTAAACAAGCAAGAGCAATAATATATATATGCAGCAGTACAAGCAAGGTCAAGAGGTAAGCAAGTGAGGCCCAGTGGGCACAAGGCCTAGCAGAGTACAATAGCGCTGATGGTCACGAGGCAGAAGTGCCTTGGTGAACACATCAGCAGTGTTGGCCTCAGTGGCCACGAAACGCAGGCGAAGCTGACCACGCTGCTGCAGCTCTCGAGCAAGGAAGTAGCGCAGAGCAATGTGCTTCGTCCTCTGCTCCAGTCTGTGCTCCTGACACAAGGCAATGGTTG